ATACAGCAGCGCAAAACTATCGCGGTTTCGCGGTTTCGCGGTATAGCGGTTACATACGTACCGAATGTGCTCGATGTGTGCAGTGTATCGTGCAGTGGCAGGTAACACAATCGGATTGTTGGCCGATATCGTTATCTTTTGTGGGCCAGATGTGCGCGCTCGGGGAACATCCCCGTCGTCACTCCCGACGATGTGTTCACCGTTGTTACACCTGAATACATTCTACATTCACGTGTGCGTTGTATACGTTTTTACAAACTGCTGTTAGATCCACTTTTACCTCGTCGCCACGATAACAGCCGCGATTCCATCTCGGGCGCTTAGGCAAACTCGTGAAATCTGGCCGTAACTGGTTATGCACATACGCCCAACCGAACAATGTTCGCTCAGCTTGAATTTACCACAGATTTTTGTTCGATATTGCATTCGCGAAACGATACGTGCGGATGCGTGTTATACCGTCTCGTATTGTTGTCTGCGCTAAACGCGTCAATTTCCAGACTTGTTCGATTAACTTGGGAATAGACACCTAATTTTTTTATTTTTTCTATTTTTTTACATAAAAGTCATCTGTGGAGTATCTTTACACCCTAATTAAAGTCACTATTATTAATAACATATTGTATATTATATTAATTGTTTTCCGATATATTGATATTTGAGAACATTACGAATGTGAATTTGTTCTTCTGTCAATTCAATTTTCTGAAAAAAGTATAAATAGAAAACGGATATTAAATGAAATAATTAAGTATAACTTTCGTCGCTGAGGTGCAAAACACCTTAAGCGACTATTCTCACATTAAAATACGATGAAGAACGCGATAGACTTTTCCGATAGCTTATTTAAGCTAACAAATAAAAAATGTTGTACATAATAACATTCGGACGATACAAATTAAAAGCTTCCGTATATTTTTGTTCTATTTCTTAACGAGCGGAATTCGCAAATAAGCAGCGACATTAATTTTAGAGAAGGTGGTAGTAGTAGTAGTTTCGAGGAAGATTTTGATGGATTGAGAAGGGTATTGCACAAAAAAGACATAATTTTCGTTGTTGAGTTTCACTTTCATTTGAACTTTGTTTGAAGTTTCTTTTTTATCTTCTAACATAGAAAGGTACATATTGGATATCGCATCGAATCGTCGCATAAGGCCAACGTGCAAATGCGCTCCTTTCTCACACCACATAACACATTCGATTACTGTACACTTGCATAAATCGTTAATCGTAACGTTACCTTCGCTATTTACAAAATTCGAGACGCACTCTCGATGAAACCGCGCAAAAAGACTGTGTGAGCATACGCCAACTGCTCTTCTTTTAGGTCTCATCTACAATAATCGCATAAGTATAAAGCGTCAATTTTTAATATTGGCATCAGATTGGCTCGAACTTGCGATCTGCGATACAGATTGTACGACTATTGTAGATAAGGCTAGATTAGCTTTAATTGTCTCAGGATCAAGTAACGTCCTTCTCTTGCTATAGCAATAATGACAATCGAATATCTTTTAAACAAACTGTTACAACGATCCTTTTGTTAACAATTCAACGTATATCTCGGAATCAAAATTATTCAACATATATTTTTTTTAATTGTCGATATTATAATAATATTGAATTATAATATTAAAAAAACCAATTCTTTAAAAAAACATTACATTCATGTCGGTTATCTTCTGGTTTTTATCACCAATAGTGAGTGCCAGAGTTTGAAAAGTAATGGTGTTCCTGAAAATGAGACAATCCTAACAAATCCCATCTAGTTATAACTGTATTTTTGTTACGCGTGTTTTATCTGACTATCATATTTCTATAGGACGATATCATTTGTAGTTTCGTCATAAACATTCGCCTTATCAAGAACTTCACAAGCAATATTATTATTGTCTTCCCTTTTAATTCATTCTTTTTCGCGTATATCTTAGATTGGCATGTCCCCAGAAATAACAATGGAATCGATATTGAATCAACGTCGATTCTACGTCAATTTGACGATTTCGACGTCGAATCGACATCGATTCCATTGTCATTTCTCACCGGGTCGTAAGCTGATTCAACAAATTGCAGACAATCGACCGATTCTTTTGTCCTTTCGTTGAAATAAGTGCATTTCAACGAATCGTAGTTCGAAAATCATTGCTTTAGGTGACACACGAATCTGCTTAGCCGAACTAAGACGCGTTTGCATGTTTCACGTTTAACCCTTTTAAAAGACAACGAATCGCAAAAAATATTCAAGACTGAAAAATACGTATTTATTATAATTGTTTTATTATAACACTCTCTATGAAGTTATCATCATGAAAATGAAAATTTAGAAAATTATGATGTTTTTTAGGTTATTATTTTATCTTTAAAGATGCTAGAAAGTTTGCGAATTATCACGTGTTTTTGCCCATTGCTAATGCCAACGTTTCGTGAATCTTACCGTTTACGAAACGTTGGTAAATCTTCTAGCATCTTTAAGGGGATCATATATTTCAAAAATATATCGAATAGTAGCACTCAATCCGAGACGCGTCCGCGGTTCTTCAAACTTTCGGCCTTCGGATTTTTAGGATCCCTTTAAGGGTTTATTTCACCAACCCTGATTAACGCTAATCGATGATTAACTCAATCACTACGATTGCCAAAGTGAGAACTGTTAGAGAACTCTCTCTCTCTCTCTCTCTCTCATGTTCTTGTAATTTCTTTGCTGTTCGCACTTCTGTGAATTGATCGTCGATTAATTTAACCAGAAGTTGGTGAAAGAGATCCTAAAAATTATAAAATTTCTATCTCTGATAAAAATATAGTCCTAATAGCATTCCAGGAGACGTCTTTAGGACGTCTGGTATGTCTTTTGAACATCCTAAAGATATCCCCAAGATGTATCCCGGATAAAATAAGCTATTAGGTGATTATTTTATAGGATTAGTAAATTAGATGGACATTTCAAAAGGGTTAAAATAGCTTCAAAACTAGCTTCTATCATAAATGGCCAAATCCTACATAAACATTCGCCGCTCTCTATCATAAATTCCGTGATACAATGCAATGTTTGTAGCAGTATCTGTCGTAAATTTAAGCATGATCGAAGTATGACAATCTTTCTAAAATTTATTGTCTGGTTGCGTAACTGTAATCGGTATGCAGATGAATTACCATTGTAGGCGTCGCGAGAAATTCTTTGTTACAATAGTATTAAAAATTAAAATTTATTACGATTTCAAAAGCGTAATGTATAATTTTTGTAAAACGACATGTAGTTATCCTATTCTCTAAATTTCTTAGAGTAGAGGAATCTCACTTAAAAAAAAAAAGAAAAAAAAAGATTGAAGATTTGCCATGACAAATATTTTCACTTTTTTGAAGTGAGATTTTACTCTAAAAAATATTGAGAGTACATTTTTCACGAATAAGACTCAATTTAATTCATCCGGTCGTCACTATTTTTGAAAATTGTTTCGCACTCGTGACTCTAATTAACGCATTCTTAATCAATAATCCTTGAATTAATATGCTCATCATCGAAACCGGTGATAATTAGGTTATTTACCCTTAGGTTAACGTCCTCTTCTCTCTCGAACATAGCATCGAGAATAGAAGATATATAAATGGAATATCCTCGCTGTTTCTGTTATGACAGATTTCAATCTTGTTCCCATTGTTCAGATGAAAACACGATTCGTTCAGTCTTCTTTCCGTTTTCTGAGTTTGCCCTCTGTCTGAATAGTCCTAGAAACCAGCTCTACACAGCTACTTAAGTCTGTGTTGCTCTTTGTCGCCATCATTTCGCCATCTTTATCGAGAGCCTTGCTAAGCGCCATAATGTAGGTGCAGGCAATCCTCAATACGGATAGCTTTGACAATTTCTGGTTATTTGAATAGGCAGGTATTGCTCGCCTTAACGTGTCAAAGGCAGCACTGATAGTATGCACTCTAGTTCTTTCTCGAGCGTTCGCTTCTATCCGTCTCTCCCTCGTCATGTTCTTGTAATTTCTTTGTTGGCCGCCCTGATGATGATGTCTCGATGTCATGGGAGTCACTTGATGACTCTGATGAGTCTGATGATTCTGATCGGACGAAGCTATCTGTACTGAGGATTGTAACAAGTGTTCCACCATGTACGATGGCGTCTTGTCGTAGGAGCCACTTACAGCAGGATGCGACGGTACTCTGGATGCCTCGTTTCTCACCACCAAAGATAATGGTTCGTCCTGCAGCCTAGGATGCGGTAAAGAGATCGTGTTCGACGAAGACATTGTTGCTGCTGTTGGTGCCACCGGTTCAAAGAACCTCTGACGAGACTCTCGTCGAGATGTAACAGCCAATCGATTGTGACCGGTAGGATGTTGTAGTCTTCTGAATGATTCGTGCAACCTCTGCGTCGTCTCATCTTGCTGTCTCGTCCTTTCTGTTTCTTCTTCCTCTTTTCCACTGGACAACGTCGTTGTCGTCGTCATCGCAGTTGATGTCGTGGAAGTCGTATTCGTCGACATCGTCATCGACGAAGTTACGATCGTCTCAGATTCATTTTTATAGGAAGAAGGAATCCACGGTCGAAAAGGATTCGATGTGTTCAATGATCTGGTCTCCTCTTGGTCTACTGTTGTCTCCTGGGAAATAGGATCGAACCGTCTCTTCTTCAGCGGTGCTATGATGACTGCAGGTTCTTGAATTTTCCGTGGCTCTGCTAATTTCCGTTTGTTTCTCAACGAAATCGGTATTACCTGCACTTCGACGCTGTCCTCAGATGAAGTAGGCGAATGCAAACTCGATCTACTGTCCTCGTCGGTACTACTGCAAGAGCCATTATCTCTTTCGGAACCCGCCATGACACCGGCTGCAAAATGGAGAAAAGTACATCAGTTTGTGTTGCTTAAAATTGTACTTTAAACGAGACAAATATATATTTGAATATATGTTAGAGAAAGAGAGCACAAATATTCCGAGTGTACAACGTTCAAGCGGACAGATCTAGTTACGAGTATACTATGAGTATTACAATATAAGATAATAATAGAGAAAGAAAGAAATTACTTCCTTAAGTCTCGTCCGTAAACTATGTAATTATGTAATCGTGCTCTATATAAAGCATTCTGAAGGATACGCAGTAGACAGTAACATGCCGATAGATGCGTTTGATTGGTCGATAGACAGTAAAATGCAATGCTGATTGGTCAAA